TTGCACCAGAAACCCATGCCTAGACGGACGGTTTCACCTTTCTCGAGTACCATGATGTTATTTCCAGCTGGGCTCACCTCTTTGAGTGGAACGAGGTGATCGATATCAAGACTTCTCTCTTGATCAGTCGAAACGTCGTCATACGGCGATACCCATGTTCCTGATACCGCATGACACGCGCTGTTCGTAACGACGTTGGTCCCGTCTCTTTTGAGGACGACTGCGTTCGTTAGGACGGGACGGTTTTTGCGGGATGAAATGGCTCACCTTCCCTCGTATTACAGTTGCCAGAAACTGATGATGATACAATCATTCAGTCAGCCCGCGGCAGCATCGAATATGCAATCTACTGACTGGTGTCCCAGGTTTTGAACAATGACCTCGAGTATGCTGGTACGTTTGAGTCCGTCGCCACTTGCACTACAAGGAGCTCATGAATCTATCATTTTAGAGTTCTTCATGAATAAAACCGCACGTTCGCTGAGGTATGTCTTCGCTGTCGCTACGGAAACGGGTGTTGGCAAGTCTCGCTTGAATGACGCCGCCACCGCCAGCAATCCCAAGGAAAGAGAGACTAGGAAGAAGCGGATCATCTCAGTGTAAAAACTGTTAGTGGGCTTCAGACTCGTTATGCAATACTTGTACAGACAACCTTATATATCACTCAGAGGGGGTCACCTTATAGGACATGGACATGGACATGTGTTCCATACGCATGTGCGCTTTACATAGCCGAGGAGAGTGCAGTGTCTTCCTCGGGGCCACATGAAATTGCCGTGCCTGGACTACTCAACCTCATGGTCTGAATTGCATTAGAAGCTGAAACATCACAAGAAGAGGAACCCCCCCATTGATTGGAGCTATCGTACACGTGACGGGGGCGATTGTTGTTACGCGAACTGGAAAAACAAATAGCACTTGGTCCCTCACTACACCTTTGCTGAAAGCCTGGCAACGTCCTTCAGGAAAATTGCACCGCCAGCCATTCTAAGCACTCTGGGCGTCGGGTAGATTAACTTGGATCTCTGGCTTTCTTTCAAGCACAACGTATCACAAAGATACAGACGATCTGGCCCTAGTAGTAAGACAAGGTTTTGGTGAGTGTTGATACTCTCTGTACTCTCGGTTTCCTAGGCGCTTTACGGCAAGAGGTGTCTGCGAGGCCGGAACAACGTGTGCCCACCGTTTGTGGGAGCACTCCGCATGGGCAGACGAATTCTTCTGGAATGGGTACATCGCGGAATTCGAACTTCATGCAACGTTCTTCGACGAAAGCATGACTAGTTATGAGGATGGATTGTATTGCACGTGGTGCGTGATAGGTGCTATGTGTCTTTTCTCTTGGGTGCAGGCAGATGCATGGTCGGACTTAGGTATCTTTGTTTGGTGCACAGCTAGGTTTTTGGTTCTTTGGTTCTTTGGAGACCAACTAGTTCTTTTGTTTGAGGAAGCTAAGGGAGATTGCAGAGTCAGAAGAAGCTCGCGTATAGTCAGTGTGATAATTCTCGGTGAGAGGAACTGCGATAGGTGTGCGCGGGTGTCAAGGTGGGAGAACGAGGCTGTTGTGATAGTTCCCCAATCCTTTCTCCGAACATTATAGGCATCCGGACGACGCTATTCTCTTTTATCCAAGCTCCAGCTCCAAGCACTATGTATGTCATTACTGACTTTGTCTCTAAGCCTTTCGCCAAATCGATCCGTTAATCGCGCGCTCTTATCTCATTTCCTCTACCTAGCTTTCTGTCTATGACTTACCCTCAGAAAGACACGCCTTATATTCGCACAGAATCGATTGAAGAATTTATTACACAAAAACATAACAGAAACAATAAAGCTGAACTACACAGGAGGGAGGTAACTCCTCCAATCATTAACCTTGTCAACCAGGGCTTTCCGCTCCGCTGCTTCCGCTTCCTCCCTTTCTTTCCTGAATGTAACCCGAAACTCATGGCACAAACAAGGGCACATCAAGAAGGTCCTCCCGAGTTTCGCCGCGGCGCGCCCTTCGAGCATCTTGGCCTACATCCCAGTCTTCCGCACACTTCTACCTTTTTCCTGCCCGCCTCACTCGCACCATCTCATCATCAGGATAGAAGGTGTTCTTCATGAGATTCCAAAGTGCATCCTTGAAAATATTCAGTGCAGAAGTTGTAAAGTACTGCAGATGCATAGATAGCATCAAATAGTATGGTGGGAGGTCTGTCAGCACTGTCAGTGTTACGACTTGACGACTTAATGACCAGGTTCACAACCACGCATTCCACATTCCGTGCTCAACTACGTATTCCATATTTCATCACCACACATTCCACAGATCGCTCTTAAGGTCAGCCGCGTCCAAGCATTCCACAGATCGCTCTTAAGGCCAGCCGCAAGCATTCCTAACAATCAGGTTTACTAGTATTCCAGGAGTCACGATCGAGTTAATTACAGCGCGACATCATAAGTCCACATATCTATTTAAACCTCTGTCTCTTTTCATAGTATCCTTAGTCTCAAGCTCCTGTTTCTTATAGAACTCTAGTCCCAGAAATACCAGTCATTTTCTCTGCTTTGCCTAGCACAGTTAACAGTTGTCTCACCACCCAAACTCTGTCAAATTAGTACTTGACATTAAACTTGATATGCTGAACGGTCTGCCAACCGTAACTGTTACGGTTGGTGGACTGTTCAGTGTGTTAAGTTCAATGTCAAGTGTTTAACTTTGATGGAGTTCGGGTGATGAGATGAATGCTATGCGTGCCAGGCAAAGCAAAGAAAATAACTGATATTCTTAGGACTAGAGTTCTATAGGAAACAGGAGATCAAGACTAAAGATACTATGAGAAAAGATGGAGGCTTAAATAGATATGGGAACTTATGGTATCACGCTGCAATTAACTAGGTTACACTTGGATGTGGCTGACATAGAGCGACTAGTGATTGTCAAGGGTTTTCATACCCGCGCGGGTAAGCGCCACGGGTTTTGCCGGGTACGGGTACGGGTATACGGCTCCCAACCCGTGGAAACCCGTACCCATGCAGCGGGTTTGGCAGGTATAGGCGCCAATTATGCATTGACAAGATCGGTAGAAATTCTAAGATAAAACACATCTGCAGCCACAAAAATAAAAGATCGAGTCTGATGTATGCTATAGGGTATCTTTAAATATGTTCTAGTATTATCATATGAAATATCAAAGCAGATCAACGGTGCGATGTAAAATAAAAGTGTTATCAGTGATCCACTTCTTGAAAATCATGATGCACCTGTTTTATCAACGCGCGACCAATTCTGCCGGTCTGGCACTATCTAAAATACTCTCTAGACTACTTTAGACTATAATATAATCAAATTATTAAATTGATTTACTGAAACAAGGCCCGCGTGTATCTACAAGCTGCATGGGGCAGTGACTACATTGCATCGCATGGTGGTCTGACCTCCTTCCTATTAAGGAAGGTTGACTTAAACGCACCAGGACAGTCGCGCTTGTATGAAATGAAAGCAGAATAATAAAATAATAATGTAAATAAAGGATCCTTTTAATCTTCTGAACATAAACCAACAATATTTGAGGGATCTTGAGTAGCCATAAATGAACGCGTTGTGTCCAAGTGCTTATCTCCTTGACCGGGATGGCCCGGGCCATTTATCCGAAATGCGCAGAAACTCAAAGAACAGTCACGCTCGTATAAAATTGAAAGCAGAATAATAAAATAAAAATGGAATAATAAATTATCTTAATCTTATGAACATAAAATAGGAATCTTTGAGGGACCTTGAGTAGCCATAAATGAACGCGTTGTGTCCAAGTGCGTATCTCCTTGACCGGGATGTCCTGGGCCGGATGTCCGAAATGCGCGATGCAAGTAAAGAACTTGCACGCGTTTCATTTCATGGGTAACCCAGGTATCAAAACAATTATCCAGGGGTTACCCCTGCAAATTGCTATGTGTTCATCAAATTATTTTGCATTCTGTGTGGTTATCTGACAGGCTTTTCATCAATGTTCTATAACATCCTATCTAATCATCTCTGTATACTGTATTTTAGTTGTGCTTGTATAAAATTGAAAGCAGAATAATAAAATAATAATGGAATAATGAATTATCTTAATCTTCTGAACATAAAATAAGAGTCATTGAGGGATCTTAAGCAGCCACAAATGAACGCGTTGTGTATCTTCTTGGTCCGGGAAGGCCCGGGCCGGGTATCCAAAATGCGCGATGCAAGTAAAGAACTTGCATGCGTTTTCACGGGTGACCCGCGGGTAACCCGCGGGTTACCCGTACCCGTAGTGACGGGTACGGGTACGGGTACGGGTACCAATGAGGATACCCCAGGGTTACCCCTGCCAATCACTAAGAGCGACGACCTCTGGGATGCGTGATTGGGTCTTGGATGTGGCTGACATTGGGAATGACCTCTGGAATGCATGGTTGGGTCTTGGATGTGGCTGACATTGAGAGCAATGACCTCTGGAATGTGTGGTCGTAAATTAAATAAGAAATTAAATGTAATGAGATATTAGATGTAAATTAAGTTAGTTTGTAACAGTAACAGTCAGTGATATGTAGTGCAGAGCCTGTATTGAGGGTGATTGCAGGAATCTTTGAGTCGGAATCAAATAGATTTGCAGTGCACCCTGGAGTCTCTGGAGATTCATCGGGCCTTAATATCAGCAGAGTTGGGGGTCTGGTTGTAGCACCATCAGCCTCTGTGGGCATTAGGCATTAGGGAATCGAAACAGACAATTCTGAATGCAACCCATTTACCAAGACCATCCATGTGTAAGTCTGTTCAAGAGGATGCTATTGCAAGTGTTGTTTATGGTCTCCATGCTTGACTATGCCTCTTTGTAAGGACCTTTATGTACTACCCATCATTGCAATGGTTAGTGACAGCCACTTGGATATAACAGATTCATACCTGATCACCTTTGCAATGTGCTATAAGATGTGCCCCATGTTGAGGTTTCAGCACCCTGATCAAGGGACATTCAATCTCAGGAAAAGTATAGCCATGTTGGGGATTGAACCCAAGACCCTCAGACAAACTGGGTCCAGTGCTCTAACCACTTAGCTACACAGCCTTGGGTCCACAAGGTGGTTTCTGTGTGTTGTGCTCTAGCCACAACCAGTCCATCCAAAGTTCCGTGTGCCATTACTAGGCTTCAGGCACTTCTCAACACCCCATTGCATCCCACTTCCCCAGATCCTGTCAAAAAAATCCTGGAGTATGAGACACTTGCGGAGCTCCCATTGATGAGTACTGGCCACACAGCCTTCCACTCTTCTTGGGTCTCTCACATCTTTTCCTTAGGCACGTTCTGGAAGTTCAGGTAGTCCTGCTGCTGCATTGTGGGACACAGCTGGCCCGGTCTGAGGCAGAGCGACTTAGGTGTGGAAACGCAGCTGAGGTTAGATAAGCGCTACCTAAACGGGTAGCAAGATAATTCAGTTGTGAATGGTCAAAACTGTACATTAATTAGTCTTTACCTAAACGGGTAGCAAGATAACTATGCGAGTAATGTTAGCTATACGCGTGGTAAAGATAATCTAAGTAAATACTCACTTCAGTTGTGAATGGTCAAAACTGAAGTGTACAACACAGAAATAATGTCCTTAAATACTGTAAAGAGTGTGCTGTGCTATGGTCATGAAGGATTGTATCTTAATCATAAGTAATCATAACAAACGAGTGGAATGTCAGTAGGTATATTACAATGTCCACTTAACTCCGTCTTGTACCGGCAACTCCGGTCACCTCTGATCCGGTCCGGCCAACTCTGATCCGTTACCGGCTCAACATCCCCCCGTGATTAAGACAATCCTATTAGTCCTAATCCAGAGACGAAGTCCACAAGTTTCGCTTGCGTGTGTGGCTTTGTAAATCCGTCAGCGAGCATGTCCGCAGTGGGTGTTCTGATGAGTTCAATAAAGCCTTGCTCGACATATTCGCGGATAGCGTGAAATTTGATCGGGATGTGTTTTGAGCGTCTGCCAGTCACAGGATTGAGTGCTAAGTCCACCACGCCCTTGTTATCGCCGTGTAGGGGAATCGGGTCGGAGACTTCATAGCCTAGCTCAGAAAAGATGCTCCGGTACCACGTGGCTTGATTTGCCGCCTCGGCGAGTGCCATGTACTCGGCATGAGTGGTACTTTGGGCCACGGTCTTTTGCTTACGCGAAGTCCATGAGATCGCTGAGTCAGCAAGGAGAAAGACATAGCCCGAGGTTGAATGAAAGTCATCGGTGTTACGTCCGGTGTGAGACGCTCTGCACGACTTGTGCGACAGCTTCGTTCGTATGTTCAGATAAGAGACCAATAGGGCCTCTTGGAGTGTAATGGAATGAGTCAAAGTCAACGGGGCTGTTCCCGAGTGACAATGTTAAGCGGAAAGTGCCCAAAGCACTGAGACGATCGAGTCAGAGGTTTCAAGGGGAAGTCCAGAAGACAAACACCGATGTATTCAATAAGTCGAGTCTGAGCTCTACAGTGTAACTATAGCTGACTTATATACGTAAAGGGGTGAGCGTCTATCGATAAGGGTCACGGAGTCAAGTGGGCCCAAATAGCCGGAAGCGGAAGGCGTAAAGCCTGGCTTCTACTGATAGGGAATTAAGTAAGTGTCCGGTCGTACGATAAGAAGATAAGCGATAAGCAAAGATAAGGACAGCCAAAGATACATAAACAAATGAGTCACGGGGATGGGCGAAGAGCATGTGATGGATCCCACGATGGAGACGTGATCTGGTAGTGGAGTGTGGGTGGAAGAGCAGGGTTATCGTTAGGTAGGAAAAAGAACATGGGCAGCGATGGGGTTCGTAACATCACCCCCTCTTCTGGTTCTAGCAGTCCCGGCTAGAAACGACTCGTACCGTCATCATCCTGCACCAGCTCCAAGTAGTCATCAGCTACATTACGATCGTCCATCCGGTACGTCTCCATTTCCTGTGGGCATGCATGGGTGCGAAGGAAGCCGTACGGGCCGCGCTGGCCACAAGCGCAGCATAGGTCGTAGACGGGGCAGTCGATTTCTTTATGCCCAACGTTATGACGAAGGCACTTGCCGCACCAGCCTGACGGGTTGTTGATTGTTGGGGCCACCCCTACGCGTCGGAAGATACAATGCCGGCTCCAGTGAAGATTGCTACGACAGTGTCGGCACCACTTGCGGTTGAGAGGGCAGTTCCAACTGATGTGATACTTGCTATCGCAACGCCAGCAGGTTTCCCCGCGCGGATTCTCGTGCAATTGTGGCATTTCGAGCCGGCTCGGTAGCAGTGTCGGTGCAGCTCCTAGTGTATGAGGAGGGAGGGGCCGTGCATAGGTGTCGGCATACCTTTCAGCGATTGTCTGATACGCATCTCCTGCCTCCAATCTCTTCCTAATCTCCACAATCTCCTGCTCCAACTGGAACATCCCATTCGTCAACCTAGCCATCATCTTCACGTGCTCCTTGTACTGCTGGTTCAGCGTCCTCCGCAGGGTGATATTCTTCCGCAGCCTCATGACTTCCGCCTTGAGGCGTGGCAGCCTCATGTCGTTCATCACCTCGTCGATTGCAAAGGCACGACAGTCCTCCGCGGCGAGGTGGCCCAGCTGTTCGTCAGTCATCGTGTGGTGAAGTCGTCCCGTGTACCTTTCTTCTAAATAAACCGGGGCTCCATAGACTGGCCCATCCTTCTTCATACATCCCGCCACGTCCATTCCTCTGTTGGTGTAGTAAATATACTTCGCGATGGCCTTGGAACCATCAGCCATCGTGATCTCCAGGGGGAAATACATTGACGAGTTGGGGTTGTTGGGGATAAAGGGGAATTCTGGGGCCTCATCATCAGCCTCCCCGTTGAGCAGGTCGTTGGGGTGGGGCTCTTCACAATGGGTGAAGTCGTCGTTCGGGTTCGGGGACTGGTTTTTGATACGGGCCTCGGCAGCGTCGTAGTCGATGGGAGAAGAGGGACGAGAGGAGGGGTGAGCGGAGGGGAAGTTTTCGACGACGGTCATTGGGGAGGTGAAAGCGTCGATGGCAGCAGAGGCAGCGATGAAGGACATGATGGATAGTTCGGTAGTGGTAGTAATTTGCTGAGAGGGCATATACTGGGGGAAATCGTCTAGAGGTCGAGATTGCTTCCCTTTTAACTATTTCTGGGCGCTTCTGGATGTCGGGCATGGAACTCCGAGATAAGGACCGGGGCAGAGATATCTCCGGCTGGTTCCCACGAGTTGTCAGAGGCTGGGAATCCCTTCCACTTAATCAGGTAATACAACTTGCGCCCTCGGCCTTGTCGCTTGGAGTCTAGAATGCGCTCCACTTCCCACTCTTCTTCCCCGTCGATAAGGTCAGGAGGGGGTCTCGAGAAGTTTTCTCCATGTAGAGGTGTCTCTTTGTAGGGCGTAAGCAGTCTGGCATGGAAGACCGGGTGAATGCGCCATGTGGGGGGGAGCTCGAGTTGGTATGACACATCTGACAGCTTCCTTGTTATCTTAAAAGGTCCGTGACATCGGGGCGCTAACTTGGCGGTCGGATGTGACGTGTGGATGTTCTTCCCTTCCAACCAGACCAGGTCATTGGTCCGATAAGGTGTGAACCTTGTGGACTTCTCAGCCAGGGTCTTTTGCGCCTTCAACAGGTTCTCATTGGCTGATTTCCTAATCTCCTCCCATTGGTCGATATGTTGTGTGGCTGAAGGGACATTCGTTGGCTTTCCAGTCCATGTGGCTCGGGGTGTCCATCCCATGATAAGTGAAAATGGGGAGTGTTTCGTGGTGCCATTGGGCCAAGAATTGTGGGCAAACTCTGCTGTCGCGAGCCAGTCAGCCCAATCATCCTGTCGTCCGTTGCACCAGAACCGAAGATACTGTTCGAGCCACTGGTTTGTTCTTTCCGACTGTCCATCTGTCTGTGGGTGATACGCCGTGGAGATGTTCTGGGCGATATTCAGCGTTTTACAGAGTGCTCTAGCAAACGCAGACGTGAAGCGCGGGTCGCGGTCTGAGATGATCTTTTCAGGGAGGCCATAGTGTCTGTAGACGTGATCCAGATAAAGTTTGGCCACTCCTTCTGCTGTGATAGACTCGTTGCAGGGTATGAACAATGCCGCTTTCGAACAGTCGTGATCAGTGATGGTCAGGACTGAGTCGAAACCTCTGGAAATGGGGAGTTTAACAATGAAATCCATGGCAATAGTCTGGAATGGTTGTGAGGTCGTCGGCGTAATTGGGAATGGTGCCGGTGGTTGCAGGTGCATATTCACTTTGTTGGCCTGGCAGTCTGCGCATCCCTTCACATATTCCTCCACATCCTTTTTCATATTTGGCCACCAGTAATCGCGTTTAGCAAGAGCATAAGTGTTGGCGATGCCAGGATGTCCTGCAGAGGGGAGGTCATGGTGAAAATGGATCACCCCCCTCTTAATGTTGTCGCCACCGGTGACAACGAGACGATCCCCGTCCTTCCACCACAAGCTGTCGACTTGTTTCAGGTTATGGGCCTCTACCCAGGATTGGCATAACTGCTGATTCATATTTTGTGACACTTGTGCCCATAGGTCCATGTCATGGAGGCTTACGACTGCTTGCTTTGCGAAAACCTCTTCTGGGAGTACAGTGATATCGCTATTGTCCTCTTTTCCATTACTAAAATCGGGTCGTCTTGACAGGGCATCTGCGCGTGCATTGCGACTCCCTGCAATATGCTTCAACACGAAGTTGTATTCTTCCAGTTCTAGGACTTCGCGCGCAACCCTTCGGCTGATTTTGTGGGGTTCCTTCCAATAGAGTAGGTTGGAGTGGTCGGTATGAATGATGGTCTTGTGAGGTGTCCCTGCTAGGTATGGTCGCCAATGTCATAGCGCTTTCACAATAGCAAGCAGTTCCCTGTCCCAGATATCATAGTTTCGTTCCGCGGGTGAGAATGTTTCCGAGTAGAAGGCAACTGGGTGAAGTAGTCCCTCTTCATCCCTTTGATTCAGTACAGCTCCATTAGCAAAGTGGGACGCATCGACTTCGAGTTCAAAGGGCTTCTTCAGATCCGGCTGTAAGAGGACTGGTTCTGAGCCAACGATATCTCGGATCTGTTCAAAGGCC